GCTCACCGGCTGTGCCAATCCTCTAGGGTTGGAATCGTTAAAATCCTCTTTCCTAACCAACCATCCCACATCTCTAAAAGAGGGCGGGTCCCGACCTCACGTGACGTTGCGGTCACGTGACCCCGGTCCCGCGGGAACCGAGGTGCATTCCAGCTCCGGCAGCAGGAGGGGGGCGGGCGTGCCCAACCCCCAGCCCCGTCACGACCATGCTGTCCCGCCTGCTCAAAGAACACCAGGCCAAGCAGAATGAGCGCAAGGAGCTGCAGGGTGAGCCGAATCTCCTGTCGGCCTTTTCCTCCCCGGCCGCGGCCTAGCTTCTACCGGAGGCCTAGACCTCAAGTAACAGCCCAGATCCAGGGAAGGGCTAGGGCTGACGGGCAGCGGGGGTGGAGGAGAGAGAATAGGGGGCGGCTTTTTCGGAATTTCGTTCCGGGACCCACAGTCTCCGGTCCTTTTGGCAACTCTCCAGTCCCCTCGGCAACGCCCCCAATCCCGCCTTGGCGTCATCCTAACCCCGCCCCTTGCTCAGGGGCGCCTTGCCATTGGTCCGGGGGAGCCTCTCATACTGGAAGTGGGAAGGGACTGTCCTGAGAGAGGAGTGTGTCAGGGACCTCCCAGAGACTGGATTCTAGGAGGCCCAAAACCACCCAGGAGGAGATGAGGCACTGCTTTTCCTGAATCTAGTCTGGGAATCCCAGAGTTACAGATCCTTTAGCCAAATCAGTGGAGAAAGGAGGCCTGGGAGTCAGGAGTCCTGGGCGCTGGAACTGACTGGTTGGCATCCCTGAGCGCTTCCCTTCCCCTCTCAGGGTATTTTCTCATCTCCAAAATTAAATGAGATTGCTTTATGTTTTGCAAGATCCTTTTCGGCTAGGGCATTCCCAGATTAGTTGGATGTTTGGGGAACTAGCAGAATAGTAATGGGTGGGTGAGGAACTCTTTGGCACCACCCTCAAAAACCATGTTTCCAATCCCTTTTCCCCCACACCCAGAGAAGAGGAGGCGCGAGGCTATCACTGCAGCGACCTGCCTGACAGAAGCTTTGGTGGATCACCTCAATGTGGGGTATGAACCTCTTCCTATGAACACCGGCTCCCTCCCCCACCCTCCCCCAAGTCAGACACTAACAAGGTGTCTGACCCTTAGGCTGTTTTAAAGGGTTGGGATGTTCCATTTGTTCCCCTATCCTACCCTGACCTCCCAGTTCAACTTTGTGGAGAGAGGTCGGAGTCAGCTCTGACGGCTAACACGGTGCGACGGAGGAGCAGCTGCCGTGGTTGGAGAAGCAGCCAGATTTCCCCCTCCTCACATTAACTTGCCTGGCACTTAACAACGTGATGCCATCTGCCCACATCCCTTTGCCCTTCCAAGTCCAGCTGTCACTTCTGTGGGAGAGAGAACACCCTCCTTCACCACAGCTTACCACCCTCTCCTTCTTCACCTCCCACCCTCTGGCAAGCCTGAGCAACAGCTGGCAGGAAAGGGATGGCACAGCTGGTGGGGGTGAAGGTGGAACCTATGCCAGGAGCTAGGGCAGAGCCAGGCTGTCTCTTAGCCTCCTTCTGAGTCTCCAGAGATGACCCCCTACCCCAGCCTTAAATGAGAATGCCAGTAATCGCCAAAGACTTGGGAAGGAACAAAAAACATTGTCTCCTGACCCTGAGTGACCCAGAAGAGTTCAGAGGTTTTGATTTGATCCTCTGTTAGAAGAAAGGAGGCAGTGTGGTGCCTTCCACCCTAGGGCAAGTGAAAGAGCTTGGTTGTGAATCCAGAGACTGAGTCATCCTAGGGAGTCATGCAGGGGCTGGGGTCGTCTTCATTACTCATCTGGGGGGAGATGAGGGAAAAGGAAGGCTGTGGCTGTGGTTGGGACCTCTAATTTCCCTTCCCTCCAGGCAGCTCTCTTCACTCAGTGCTGTTTCCCAAAGAGGAGGGGCAGGTTTTTGTCTCTTCTCCCTCCCACATTGGCGCCTCCTGGGCTGTGCTGTGCCACCATTTGTGCAGTTGGCCCAGGCTTTTTTCTCTTCTCTTTTCTAGAAGCCACCCCACTTTCAGCTTGGAGGGCAGCTAAGCCAAAGCCAGATTAGAAAGGGTTTTGTGTTGCTGCCCACGGCTCCTCTTATTCCCCAGAAAGAAAAACAAAGACTCAGTTTATCTCAGCCCTTGTCAGGTGTCCTGCCCACTCTCGTGACCCCCCCCCATCCCTTGTCTCCTTCAGCCCCCACACATTCCAGTGGGTGGGGGCACCGGATGTGGATTCTCCTGGCTGACCTAGAGCTTTGGGGTAGGGGGGTGAAAGATTAATTGGCCAATAAGGAAGGGCGAATAATCATTGCAGGGGAGGGGGAAGCAAAAAAAACATTGTTAGAGGATTGGGGACACCAACCCAGTAATAGCAATGGTAACTGCAGCCAGTTAACCTTGGTTAAAGAGAAGAGAAAATGATTGCCTGGAGAAGAAGAGAGGCAGTGTGTGTGTTTTCTTTCATCTGTGTGGGCGAAAGAAGAGTTAGAGGAGAGATCCAAGAAGAAACCCCTTGATATTCTCTCCTGACCCAGGGTTTCTGGGGAGAGGGGGTTGCTCTCCCACCCCACCCCAGATTCAGAGAGGGGCCCAATTCTCTTCCCAACTTCTTGCACAGATCCCTGGACTTCCAGTCATTGCCAGATGTGTCCCTGCTGCAAGATTTTCCCAGCATCACCATACCCTCATTTCCCTCAGGGATGTCCCACCAGGTTAACCCTCCCTTCCCCCCACCCAGCTGCAGGAACTCCTTTGGGGAATAGGAGATGGTATGTTTCTAGTCAGCTCCCAAAACTTGGCTCTCCTGGGAATCCTGGGAGTGGAGTAAAGAGCTGGCTTCATTTGCATGTACTGGTAGTCATTTGCATCACATATATGAAGAGCCAAAATCTTAAGATTTTCCCAGCCCTAACTCCTAACTGGCCTCCCAACTACAGTGGAATATTAGTTCTGGAGACCACCCCCCCACAAGTTGGATGAGCTAATCGCCTCCCTCCTCCAACCCTTAGTGTGGCCCAGGCCTACATGAACCAAAGAAAGCTGGACCATGAGGTGAAGACCCTTCAGGTCCAGGCTGCCCAATTTGCCAAGCAGACAGGCCAGTGGATCGGGATGGTGGAGAACTTCAACCAAGCACTAAAGGTGGGCCACACTCCCCATGTCACAACCCTATCAGAACCCTCAATAGCTGCCTCCAGTCTGATTACCTCAGGCCTTGGATTAAGGAGGAAGTGGGTATTGTCCCAGGTACTTCATCTATGATTACAGTGTCAGAGAAGCTAAAGAAAGAAATAAAAGCAGAGGCTGGGTGGTAGAAGTAGCTCATTAGTAGAGGGCCAATCCCTAAACTAACAAAAAAGAAAGAAAGAAAAAGTGCTCAGCGGGGCACAGTGGCACATGCCTATAATCCCAGCAGCTCTGAGGCAGGAGGATGGAGAGTTCAAAGACAACTTCAGCAACTTAGTGAGGCCCTAAGCAACTCAGCAAGACCCTGTCTCTCTAACTAATATATAAAAATGGGGTTCAAACCTTGGTACCAAAAAGAAAAAGTACTCAGAACATCCCCAGTTCTGTGAAGTACACCTATAGTCCCAGCTACTCAAAAGGGTTGAGGCAGGAAGACCTTTTGGGTTAGCAGAGGGTGGGAAGGCCAATCTGGACAAAAAAGAAAGAAAAGAGAGGCTGGGGATGTGGCTCAAGCGGTAGCGCGCTGGCCTGGCATGCATGCGGCCCAGGTTCGATCCTCATCACCACATACAAACAAAGATGTTGTTTCTGCCGAAAACTAAAAAATAAATATTATTTAAAAAAAAAAGAAAAGAGCTAGGTGCAGTGACAGACTCCTGTAATCCCAGCAACATGGGAGGCTGAGGCAAAAGGATCATAAGTTCTAGGCCAGCCTCAACAACTTAGTGAGACCCTGTCTCAAGATTTAAAGTTCTTTTAAAAGGGCTGGGGATATAGCTCAGTAGTAGAGCGTCCCTGGGTTCAATCTACTACCAAAAAAAAGAAAAAAGAAATACAATCCATTAGTCCATTAGTAGATCCAAGTAAAGACCTTTCCAGATGAATAAAAAAAATGTTCCCACACTGGGAAACACTCTACCCACCCTACCCATCCTGATTCCTGGATTCCATCCCTCCTGTCATCCTTCCCAGGAAATAGGGGATGTGGAGAACTGGGCTCGGAGCATCGAACTGGATATGCGCACAATTGCCACTGCACTGGAATATGTCTACAAAGGACAGCTACAGTCTGCCCCCTCCTAGCCCCTCTATCCGACCCCTCATGCCTCACCCACAGAGGCAGGAGGGAGACTGACAGGTAACCGATGAATAAAACTGAAGTGTCCATTTCTATGTGGTGTGTGTCAAGGAACTACTAGCTTCAGTGTGAGGATGGAAGTAAAGGATTCAGAGGTTTCCCTGAGGGAGAGGGGCCTTTCTGATAGAGGGTGGAACTAGCTTCATCTTTACAATCCCATACAAGTACCTTTTGGGTTAGCAGAGGGTGGGAAGTTTTCCACACCTCTGGAGAGAAGGTCCTGGTGATTCCTGCCCCATGCTTCCTAGTCCCAAACTTCAGTTTCCTGCAGAGGAGAAATAAGACAAGGAGCAGTCCTATTTCCCAGCTCTGGCTTTCTGCCTTTCCACGTGCTCGCGGTCTCTCCCAGGCTGGCACTAAGCAGTATCATGAGTCTGAACCAGGTGAGAGATTAATTCTTGGGGGCACTTCAGGACAGAGAAGGGAGAGGAATGACAATTTCAGGGCCACCAACAGAGAGGAGAAGCTGCCATCCTTGACAGCTTCCTCTTCCTGGGAGACCATGGCATAAATGATCAGGAACCCAGGCTGAGAAAGACAGCCCAGGAGGTAGCCTGGGCAAATCTGGCTTCTGCCAAACCCTAGCTTCAGTCAGATAGGCTCCAGCCTCCCTAGCTCCTCCTCCTCAGCCCTCCCCTTTCTCATCACACTTACACTTAACACTCCTGACGCCCAAGTCCACCCACTCTGGACTTTGGGCTTAGCTGCTGCTAGTGTGGGAGACTGGGAAGACCGAAAGCAAAGTCTCTTAAACAGAAACAAAGGGAGCAGCTTCACACGTTGTAATATCTACCAGCTTTCCCCAGAGTAGGTAAGTGGGACAGTGGGAGTTGTGGGTGCTATAGGAAGACTGGATATGCTTCCTCTCACATTATCTCTGATCCTCCACAATTCTGAGTGGGCCTGGTGGGTGGTAACCCAGCTTGCTAGATGAGAAAATAGGTTCAGAGATGCAGAAAGATACCTACCATTACACAGCAAGTTTGGGGCCATCATGACTGAAATGCAGGGCTCTTAGCCCTATATGTGGTTGTATAAATAGGGCTCAGGTTACACTTAGAGGTTTCCAGTGCCCCTGGTTTAGTAGGAGAAAAGGTGTGAGAACAAACAAGATCCCTCTGTTCCCATGGGACAGGTCTGCACACAGAACCTAGCTCATCTTTTTAGTTAGCCACAAATATAGGGTCTGCCCACATCTTTGTTTTGCACAATAAGCCATACTTGGCCAATTATCTGCCAATCAGATAATTTCTCAATCTGCTCAGACCAGACATGTTAGCTAAGGAGGATGTTAGAGGCCCAGGCTTTGGGGCCAAAATAAAGAACAAGTCTTCCTGCCCAGCTTGGGCTGCCACCTGCAGGTCATTTGGGTCCAGCCATGTGGCTACTTCTGTTGCTGGGTGCCTTGTTCTGGGCAGTGCTGTGGTTTCTGAGGGACCGGCAAAGCCTGCCTGCCAGCGATGCCTTCGTCTTCATCACCGGCTGTGACTCAGGCTTCGGGCGCCTTCTGGCACTACGACTGGACCAGAGGGGCTTCCGAGTCTTGGCCAGCTGCCTGACCCCCTCTGGGGCAGAGAACCTACAGCAGATGGCCTCCTCCCGCCTCCACACTACCCTGCTGGATATCACTGATCCCCAAAGTGTCCAGCGGGTAGCCAAATGGGTGGAGACACATGTTAGGGAAGCAGGTGAGTATGGTAGAGCCACCAGGAACATGGTATGGGGTGTTCCTGGTCCCCACAATAACCCCCAGAGTCCCTTGCAAGAGCTGTGGGAAGCTAGAGGGACCAGTGGGGAGGAGCAGTGTTCAGATCCTCCCATGAAGGAGAGGACATGGAAGTGTCTCATTCCCCCCCAACACACACACACAAAACCCATCTCATCTCCCCACAGGGCTTTTTGGTCTGGTGAATAATGCCGGTGTGGCTGGTATCATCGGACCCACACCATGGCTGCCATGGGATGATTTCCATCGGGTGCTGAATGTGAACACTCTGGGTCCTATCGGGGTCACCCTTGCCCTATTGCCGCTGCTACAGCGGGCCCGAGGCCGGGTGATCAACATCACCAGCGTCCTGGGTCGCCTGGCAGCCAATGGCGGGGGCTACTGTGTCTCCAAGTTTGGCCTGGAGGCCTTCTCTGACAGCCTGAGGTGAGGGGTGCAGAGCTCTGGACTCCAAGCCAAGGGGCAGCCCACTCAACATTCATGTTAGTGCCTGTTTGGCATTGATCCACAGAGATGATTAGGACAACACCATGGAAGGTTGACAAGGAGACAGGTTAGGGCTGGACTTCATAGGTTCATAACCCAGCTTGTTTGTAAGCTTTATGACCTTAGGTAGGTTACTATCTTTATTCCGTCTTTCCTCACCTGTTAAATCAGGATAAGAAGACATGCCTCATGGATATTGGGAATGAAATGAGGTACATGGAAGAACCCAACATAGTAAATGTTCAAAAAAAAAAACCCTGCTATCATCAGGAGTAAAGAAGGAAAACTACTAACAGCTATTTGAATGAGCAAGTAGCTTTACATTACATTTTCTCATTTAATCCTTCCAACAATCCTATAAAGGTAGATATTAATACAAAGCTCGTTAGTGGAAGTACTGGGATCTCCATCCCCAGGTCTGCTTGCCTCTGGAGCTTGGTCATTATGTTCTTCAGCCCTTCATCTTTAAACAATAATGTTCAAAAGCTCCATGGAAGCACAAAGGAGTCTTGATAAGGACAGCAGGGCCTGAATTTAAAGCAGAAGCCCAAGTTATACAAGCTGAGCCCACCTTTTAAGAAAGCTTGCCCTGGGGCTGGGATGTGGCTCAAGCCGTAGCACACTGGCCTGGCATGCATGCAGCCCGGGTTCGATCCTCAGCACCACATACAAACAAAAGATGTTGTGTCCGCCGAAAACTAATAAATAAGTATTAAAAAATTAAAAAAAAAAAAGAAAGCTTGCCCTAACCACCATCACTCAGCAGATCATTTTTGTCCTTGTCCCTTAGTCTTTAATTTTTTAAAAAAATAATTTTTAGTTATACATGGGCACAATATCTTTGTTTTTTTATTTTTATGTGGTGCTGAGGATCAAACCCAGTACTTCACATATGCAAAGCAAGCGCTCTTGGTCTTTAATTTTGTAATTGGCATCATGTAACACATACTTTTTACTTAGAACTGTACATCTGGTCAAGGGCAGTGGGATATATCACTACTCTCCCCATTAGATTACATGTCCATGTAATCCCATGTTTTGGGAGCTAGGGAATAGGGTTTCTTTAGATCAAGATTAGCAAGCAGCCTTTCTCAGGCCAAATCTTGCCAATAATGGTTTTTGCATTTTTAAAGAGTTACTTTGTAAATGGTTATATAACTACCTAGTAATATCATTAACTTTGTTTCTTGGCCTGCAGCACCCAAAATATTTGCTATCAGGCCTTTTAATAAAGTTTTCTGGCCCTTGCTCTAAATTATAGATAGGAAAAAATACCTCCCTCTGGGTAGGGGCATAACTCAGTGATAACACACTGGACTAGCATACACAATCTCCTGGGTTTGACTTCCATCCTACACAATACCTCCCTTCCATTACCCACTTGCCCCTTGTCTCAGAACAGCAGGGATCTCTCTTTTTACCAGGACTCATATCCCTAGCCTGTGATAACTGTCCATCTTAGATTCCCCACCTATGTTCCTGAAAGTACCCTCCCTATAGAGCAAGAACCCAGAAACCTCTCTACCCATACTCCAGGCGGGATGTGGCTTCTTTTGGGGTACAAGTCTCCATCGTGGAGCCTGGCTTCTTCCGAACCCCTGTGACCAGCCTGGAGAATTTGGAGAACACCCTGCAGGCCTGCTGGGCGCGACTACCTCCAGCCACACAGGCTCACTATGGGGAGGCCTTCCTTACCAAGTGTGAGTAGCTGGGCACATACAGGGGTACATGAAGAGAAATGAGAGGGCCAGTAAGGCCAGACCCTCATCAGCTGGGAGGAGGAGGTGGGCAAGCTTATAAATGGAAGGCCCCAGGAAAGTGTCTAGGCCAGTTAGAACCTGCCCATTCCCCAAAATGGAGAAGGAACTTAAGAGTCATCTCTACTGGGCAACAAGCCCAAGGATCTAGAAAATAGGACCTAAGATGGGATGGAGTCAGGAAAGGATGCTAACTGCAACCATTCACGGGGCTGCAGACCTGAAAGTGCAGCGGCGCATCATGAACCTGATCTGTGACCCGGACCTAACCAAGGTGAGCAGATGTGTGGAGCATGCCCTGACTGCTTGTCACCCCCGAACCCGCTACAGCCCAGGCTGGGACGCCAAGCTGCTCTGGCTGCCTGCTTCCTACCTGCCAGCCAGCCTGGTGGATGCTGTGCTTGCCTGGGTCCTTCCCAAGCCCTCCCAGTCAGTCTACTGAATCTACCCTTCCAGGAACAGATTGTTTTTCAAGGGCAAGGACTTGTATTTTGGTCCCCACCCTGGCACTTCCTGGTACCTGGTACAAAATAGACAATAAATGTATATTGTTAAAAAAAAAAAAAAAAAAAACAGTAGGTGGGCAAAATGAATGTGTCCAGTGGGAGACTGACCCCATTTAAGGGCTAATTACCCTAAGCTGTTTTACTGCCCAAAGTCTCTAGCCTGTTCAGTGCCTGCAAAACAGCTAGCACCCACTGGGGGACGTAAGGGAATTGCCTTGCAACTGTAAGTGATATTTGAAACTGCAGGGGGAAGGGTGACCACTAGAAGGCGTATTTCTATATAAGAGTATTATCTATTTTTCCTCAGGGGAAGAGAAGGTGATGAAGAGGGTTCAGGGCCAGCTTGAGTGTTTTTCATGTAAGGCAGTACTCACTTAAATTCACCTACTGGGTGAAGAATGAGGGACACTGGCCATACAGGTCTCAAGCATCTTATAACCACTCTGAAAGGGGCAAACTCCCCTTGAGGACTAGAGGGGGAAGGAGTTTGCTGGCCCTCAGAGGTGTACAGAAGACCAGAAAGATTTACATAGTGGATCTGGACTGGGCTCTACCAGGTAGGACCTTTGTGGAAAATCCCTTTGGCTTATACAAGAGATGGCTTCATGTATGTTCCAGTGCTAAGCCTGGGAGCACAAAAAAGGGAAGGCACTTGGCCACAACCTCCTCTAGATCCTCACTTCTCTCACCCCCAGTCCTACCCACACCTTTAGCAAAATCCTCCTTTCCCAAACACCCGCCAAATCAGGCCTGCCTTTCCCAGAGCTGCACACAGAGAAAGTTTCCAGAGGACAGGGAATATGGAAAATGAGAGAAAATGGATCAAGGATCACTCAACGACAAACTGAAACCATCTCTTTTTGGTCTGAAAAAATAATCCGTTTAATTGGAAAACATGAAAGATTCTATTCCACTCCCCTAGAGGGGCTAAAGAAACCAGACCCGCCTACATTACTTCATATCCACTTCGGATACTCTTCACAAGGCAACAGGCAAAGACAATTCCTAGGACCTAGAAAGAAAGATGGAGAAGAGGGTAGAGAAGATTCAGAATGTCAAGCTATCTAGGACACACCCACAGGATCCCAAACACAATCAAAGCTCCCTACCCCACTAACCAGTACCTCTTGTTCAGCACCCTCCTCCCTATTTCCCCTGTCCCCACCCAAGAGGTCCCAGCCCCTGCCCAGGGCACCTCACCTCTACAAAAGCAATGCCCAGAGCTGCTGCAGCCACCAGCAGCACATTCTTCCTCAGCCACATGCCAATCTTCTCCACACAGCCCTGCAGGGAGGCAAAAGACCATCAGAAACTTCATACACATTTTCATCAGCCCCTTTGTCTCTTCTCTACCCCTCTGTCCTTTTCCCCACCCTTTGAATTCTCACAGCCCTCCCCATCCCTGACCATGTAAACTATCCTACCTCCTAAACATTTCCCAGATTTCCCAAGTCTCATACTATCTCAATCTTCCCCCAACCTGGGTATTGATTGCATGCAGGTCGAAATCAGTTCCACAGTGTGCAGTGACATTGATGCAGCAGGAGTCAGGGACTCGGTCCTTCCCCATACCGGGTATGTTCTCCCAATCTGTGTAGTTAGCAGCCCCACAGCAGTTAAACTGGAAGTGGAGAAATATGGGAGGAAATATGCTAAGTGAATCACCAACTTCAGTACAGAGACAAGAATCCCCTTCCCCCATTACTTCTGTTCCCAGCAGCCCCACTCACCTCTTCCTGCATCTTGTCCAGCAATGAAGCTGTACCATTGTTTTTCGGGTAATTTTGCATTTGCTGCTGGAAGTTCTTATTAAACTCTGTTTTGACCTTAGAATAGGAAATAGAGTTGTTGAGAGCAGAATTCAGGCCACTGAGTCCCAGAGCAGCACAAAGCAGGGGTCTCCCCTTATGCCCTGCTTACCTTGTCTTTAAACACATAGCCAGCAATGGCCACGGCCACCTCCACTAGCATGATAAGAGTCAGGAAGATGGCAAACTGCAAGAGCAAAGGAAGAGAGTCAAGTATGGAGTCTGGATGAGAAAGACCTGCTCTGGTCCAGCCAGTCCCTGGAAAACTTACAGAGGTCCCCAACTTACCCACCCTAGTTAGCCCTAACCATAGAAATTTTTTTGCCTTCTGGCACTCCCAGGCACCCATGCTGGTCCCACATCCCACTCACCGTCATCATAAGACAGTAGTTCTCCTTGCAGGCACCACAGCAGCCCACAAAGGCCACCAGGAAGAGGAAGGCACCCACTACAATGATGACCACAGGCAACAGAGTACCAGGAGTAGCCCCGTGGGTTATGGTTTGATTCAGGACAAGCTGGACTGCTACACCCACAATGATCAATCCCACTGCACAGGCCTGAAGGGGAAGGCAAATGAGGGTTAGGCCAGAACCACAACAATACAGCAGCACAGGGACACAGACCAATCCAGGAGAGAGATTCTCACACCACCAGGGAACTTTGGATTGGGAACAGGGAGATACCCCACTCTTGACCCTGGGGATCTGTTCAAAGCACTGGGAGAAGGGGGAAGCCAGGCCTTCCTTTAAACAGCTCTTCAGCCAGGGGGTGACCAGAAGCAAAAAAGAGAAGTACATAGAAAGCCTTGACCCCAGGGCACACACATTCCTGACCTAAAAGTAGCACATTTTATGGGCCCCCAGGGCTCCTGGCCAGATTCTTTCTCAGATCTGCATCCTCACTACCCTCCAATAACTAAGATCTTCAAGACAGGGAGGAGAAAGCAGGAAAAGGGGGCAAGGGTGGTGTGCCCCTCCCTGAACAAACAGTAGCCTCTCAAGCCAGGATCCCAGGGAGGAGTCCGGGGCAAGAACCAATTAGGGTGGGCAGAGCTCTTCCTCATCCCCAACCAACTGGTAAGGGAAAAGTGGGAAAAGGGAATGGAGAGGGATGAGCAGGGTGGGGAGTGGAGGAAAGCCTCGTGGCGATAGCATCAGGCCGTTGGCGGTTGCCCCACTGCCCCATATCACAAGTGGTTGGGTCACCAGACAGGAAGGGCCAGGAGAAGTGGGGGTGGGGGTGCTGCACATCCAGTTTGGCCATTCTCGGTCCAAACTAGCCTCAGGAGTCCCTGAAAGCTGGAGGAGGGAGTATCCGCTCCTCCTTCGGCCCTTTCCCCAGGCTTTCTTTCCACATCTGGTCTCCAGCTGCTTTCATTCTTGGTCCCTCAGCCCTCACCACTCCTGTGCCTGGGCTCCCTGCACCCCGCCAGCGCGCCCCCATCGCTCCCCTTCCCCACTCACGCAAAAGGCCAGCAGAAGAACGTAGAGCAAGAACTTGACACATTTCATTCCTCCTTCCATCGCCATGGCTGCTGGGCCTGGGGCCGAGGGAGGGCGGGTGGGGGGTGGAATTAGAACAGGCCGAGGGGGGCCAGGGCTTCCGGGCTCCCCGCCTGCCCTCAAGGCCTTCCCAGCCCGACCTCCATTCCCGGCCCCTCCCACCCGGAAACCCGCGGTCAGATCCACGTCTCCCAGCCCCCTCTGCTCCGCGGCCAGAGAGGTGTGGGGGCGACAGCCCGGACCTCCCCGGCCGCCACCGGAGCCCGGGACAGATGCGAGGGCACCCACAGGGGCTCGAGCCTGACGCCGACCCTCTGCCCGCAGGAGTCAAACACCCACTGCCCGTCCAAACAGCTCCGCAGGACAGTCCTCGGCCCAACCCCGGCCCCCAACCTCTTTCCGCCAGGTGCTGTCCTCCCCGCGAAAAAGTGCGGTCGGTGTCCCCACCCCACCCTGCCCAGGCTTCTCGAACTTTGAAGCAAAGTTATTCGAGGGCCTCGGGAGAGTCGTGGAGCTTGGGGCGGGTATTCGGAGGCTGAGGCCAGCCCCTGGAAGAGGACACTCAGAGTGGTTTCCCCAACCCAGGCCCACGTCCGCCGTGGGTCCCGTGGCCTCACCTGGGCTCCCAGAGGCTGTGAGCTCCTCTCCCGCCGCGACTCAGGGGCTCTCTAGCTGCGCCCCCCAGCTCCTGCCCCGCCTGCCGCGCGGCCCCGCCCCGGCTCCAGCCACAGCCCCCTCCCCCGCCGCCTCCCCGCCCGGTGGCCGCCAGCCTCCTCATGTGACGCGGGAACAGCTGCGGCCTGAGTCACCACGGTCAGCCAGGGGAGGGCCGAGCCCCCCGCCCGGCAGGGCCACGTGGCCACTAACCCAGAAGACAGTACCCACCCCCGCAAAGGGAAGGCACTCAGGGCCGCACTTAATCGCGCCCGGGGCCCTTGTGGAAGCAGGACGGAGCGCCGCCGGGTTCTCTTTGATTCTTGGAAGCAGAGGAGGCGGGTAAGAGCCAAAGGAAGGATGGACGACACAGAGTTGCCCTCTAAGCGCCCAGACGGCAGAGCTGAGGCAAAGTGAAAAGGTGGTCTGCGCGAGGCGTCCTCATCCTTCATCGCCCAGAGCCCACCCGGATCCTCCTCGCGCTTTCTGTTTTAAGCTCCCGCCCCCATTCTCGGGTCTGCAGAAAGCTACGGGCTGCCTGGGATCGGGTGGGGCCAGAATAAACATTTACAGAAAGTCCCTGGCCTCAGGTCCTGGGAGTCTCCCAACATTTCTAGCCTGCGTGGAGGGGCGGCGGGGAAGTTCATGTCCCCTTCTGTGAGCTCAGTTTCTTCGTTTTCCAGGGCTCTTGAACTAAGAAATCGGGAGGAGGCCTTTATCCAGGACCATCCTACTCAATTATTATATGTCAAATGTCAGGTCCCTCCCTCTGGGGGGAAGATTGAGAGCCTGTACTCCCCTGCTCCGGATCATACCGTTATATGAGGATGTGGGGGAAGATACTAGACAAGGGAGGTTTGTATCTTTTGAATTTCCCCATCTCATTCTAGCAGACAGCCCTTCTCATCCCAGAAGGCAAAGCTAGGTGTGACTGTAAGGCGGGGGTGGGTTCCAGCTGCCTCCCTGCCTGTGTGCCACTAGTGGTCCCTAGAAAGCGCTGGTATGAACAGGCAAAAGGATATAAAGGACCAGACTTCACACTCCCAGTCTGGGCCCCCCCACACACACACACACACACTTAGGTCC